ATATCCACAAAGCCCCTTTTGCTGTGGAAAGTGACATATTTACAGGTTCCAAGCATTAGGACATGGACGTCTACAGGGACCATGATTCTGCCCCCTTAGTGTAAGTTCCAGGTGGATTCGTTACAGTTGATGCCTTGCCTACATCCACAACTTCCTGGGCCAGTCCTAGGCCCTGGGTTGCTCCAACTGCCCACCTGCTCAGTGACAGCACCTGCGTTGCTGAAGCCAGAGACAACCACCTCTCAGCGGCCTGGTCTCGTTTCAAGTTCAGATGCAGGGTCATAAGCTCAGGTCACCCTGTGTGCTGCCCTGTCCCATGCATTCCTCCATTCTACTTCTTCCTCCTCTTCCTCTGCTCCTGCCCTTCTTGCTCTTTCACTGAGAAAATCAAAGTCTTGCCCAGAGCGCTCACTTGCCCACCCACCTGCATCCGGGCTGTGCATTCCCCGCCTCTCCTGCTTCTGAAGACGCACCTGGGAAGACTGTGCCCACCTTTGGCGTGCTAGGTCCCACCCCACCCCACCCCCGGCTACCCACAATGACCTCCTTGGTCTCTTGGGTCTTTAACAACATGTTGGGATGCTGACTTTAAACATCTTGCACTCTCTTGGCCTGTTTCCCCGATTTCTCCTCGTCCCTTTACAGCCAAACCTGAAGGAGCTGTCTCTCTCGCCGCCTACAGCTTCTCTCCTCCCAGTCACTTAGACCCACTCCAGCCAGACTTCCATCCCTCCATTCCACAACGCCATCCCCAGTGGTCCCCAGCAGTCACTTCTCAGCTCTCAGGGACAGCCAGCAGCGTGGGACACAAGCAATCGCTGCCTCTGGCTTCCCCTGGCCTGTGGGACCCCACACTCGCCAGCTTCTCTCTCTTCGCTGGAGGTACCTCCTCAGTGGCTTCTGCCAGCTTCTCTTTTTCTCCCAACTTGTTACACTGGAAGGCCCCTGGCTCTGTCCTTGAACCTCTTCCTGTCTACCCTCCCTTGGTGATCTCCTCTGGTCTCAGGGCTTTAAAAGAACGTCTGTAGGACAGTCACAAAAGGCCACATAGTGTGTGATTTCATTTACAGGAAATGTCCAGGACAGATCAAACTGCAGACAGCGGATTCATGGTTGTCAGGGGCAGGGGGAGGGGAGTAGGGAGTGAATGCTGATGGGGACAGGGCTCCCTTTTGGGCTGATGGAATGTTCTGGAACCATGCAGAGGTGATAGTGGCACAACATTGTGAATGTACTGAAGTGCCACTGAACTGTACCTTTTTTGGGGGGGCAGCTGGCAGGAACAAGTATCCGAACCCTTGACCTTGATGATGTAACACTGAGTTGTACACTTAAAAGGGTACATGTTACATTATGTGGATTATATCTCAATGTTTTACGAACATCTATTGATGACACCCAATTAATAACCAGCTCACACCTCTCCCCGGGACCCCACTCTCGATGCCTGCACACAGCTGCTGCCCAGCACGTTCCACAGAGGCCTAACTGGCCTCTCAGACTTACCGTCCCCAACACTAAGGCCTGCTCTTCTCCAAAAGCCCTCCTTCCCGCCATCTGCCCTGTGGCAGGCAAGGCCATCTGCAGTCATGTGGGCCACAGACCTGCTGCCTCTCCTTCACCGTCACCTTCCCGCTCGCGTCCTCCGTTGCCGCTGCAGCCTCTCTCCCCTGTATTTTGGGGCTCCACACTTCATCTCCTGTCCCCATTTCAATCTGTTGACAGCCCCTGCAGCCAGACAGGCACTAATACAAGGCAGACCGTGTCCCTCCTCTGCTTGAAACCCATGCCCACACACACACTCACAGCCCTGTCTCTGCTTCATTTTCCTCCACAGCATCTGGAACCATCCAGCCACCCTGTCACCCTGTGGATCGTGTTAACTATTTCCTTATTGTGTGTCTCCCCAACT